CACATTGTGAGTTCCAGAATAAGTGAAACACTATAAGCTTCATAGATTGGTCTCCAATATTACGGAAACAGAGCATCATGAAAGATGTACAAGGAGAAATATATTTCTTGTTTCATATCCATATATCATTCAGATTATAGTTTGCCTAAGCTAGTTGTCAAAGGAAAAGCTAATAATCGTACCGTATGATGAAGATCCAGTTCTTCCAATGCTCAAATCCTCATTGAGAGCAAGACAGATTTCCGGATTGCCAGTGAGGTAACTTTTCATTTGAATTGTTCCGTCAATCTCAGATGTAAGTATATAGCCCTGTTTAATGAAAATGAAAAAAATAAAGTCATGAAACGACTGGCCCATTAGTGCTCCATGAAAAAAGGATACTATGAGAGAGCATTATACATAAGAAAAATAAATGAGGTAACAAAATGAAGTGGGCGAAGATCATATCACAAGATGTGTAAGATTGAGAACTAAATGGTCATAACTCGTCTCAATGGCCCCTTACCCCATGGTTTTGAAGTATCAATAGTTTAAAAGCAATGCACTAGTGACTGCCATCTTTATTTATTCCAGTTAAAAATAGTGAACACAGAAGTTACTTTAACAGTAGTGATATAAGGAACAAAATGGCAAACAGGGTAGGCTCTGGCAGTAAAGGCAACAACAAACCAAAACTAGATGATGATATATGAAAACTAAATTTGCAGTGGTCACCATCACTATCTAAAACATTTAGAACCACAAATTCAGGACATATATAAATAATTTCAACAAAAGAAAAAGGCAAAATATCTTGAGATGTTGAAGAGAGAAAAATTAGTAACGACAAGGCATGACATAGACCGGTACTTACACTCGAGCTGAATGTCACACTTATTCTCTCAATGATATCAACAAAAATTTCCTCCCTCTTCTTCCCCCCAGGCTCAGTAGCAACAACAGATTTTGTAACAGCTGTACCAGGCATACGCTTTGTGCCTTGCTGCAGAAGACAAGGATGTTAAATGAAACTATGCAATTGCCAAAATAGCATGGGGAACACATGTTCCTCAGTCAAGAAACTCTAATGTTATGTTTCTTGCAGTAATGTGCACAAGCGTTACCATGAACATAGCAGCAGGACCAAGTGGTGGCAGCCTTCCAGCATCAACCATAATGGGTTCATTGAATATGTACGACTTCAGAACCTCAGTAGAGGTTGTTTGTGGGTATCCGAAGTCCTGATTGCACAATTCAACTTGTTAGCAAAACCATACAAATGCTAAGCATTCCCATAAACAGATGAATCATACTAATCACTGTGGAAGCCCACAACTTCTTTGTTAAATTAAATGTTACACATTAGGCTTTGCTAGTGACTAAAAAACAGGTCACAAAGGATACGAGTTCAGAATGGCATGAGGAAAGATGGTGTAGAGTACTTACAATGACTTCATCAAGCAATTCATACACCAAAATAAAATTCTTCCGCAGTGAATCTTCATTAAGAACGCCGAGATAATCTTTTGTAACACGTGCAATCCTTTGAAGAAGTTCCAAGAGAAGGGATGGGGAAACATTAACCATTGTGGTTACCACAAAAAATAGTCCGGCGACCTTGACATGAATATAATTAACCCCATCGACATTCTGTCAAAGTAAAAAGTAAGAACACCAATTGTCAGATCAAATAGTAAAGCAATGCACCAATAAGCATATCGCAGGTGGAATCAATGTCTTTTCATACACACATGAACCGACTGCTATTCTTTTAGTTTAGTCAATCAAGTAGTTTATATGACAATGTACTGTTTAAAGTCAAATACTAAATTTACCAAATGATCCACAAAAGGCTTCATACACAACTCACACAGACAACTACACATCACACTACAAACCATTTTTCATTGAATAGAAGTTTGCTTTCCTTAATAAGCATAGTTCCTGTTAATCCTAAACATATGTAGAGTATATAGAGTAAACCGCACAAGGTATCACACCCAGTTTTACTCCAGTTCATCTTAAAGCGTCTGTCCAAGACAATACTTGGATCACACACAAAATGTATCATTCCACGTTTTAACCAAACGGTCCATTACAGATTGCACGGTACCTGATCGTAACAGATAATGAACATAAGTACATAACATGAAAGGAAATTTGACAATTACACACAACTCAAATTCTGCTACATGTCCATCCCATTTTCCAAGGTAATGCTGCTCAACCGATAATTCGACACTGCATATCAGTTTATAAATGCACACATTTCACACAATCAAAGTGCTAGTTCCGATTAAACCACAAGATTGCAAGTAGAGCATTCAGCTAACACGATGCAGGAATCACAGTTACTGCTAATTTGTCTACCAATGTTGGTCAAAATTTGCAGTCTCAATAAGAGAGCGGGAGTAAGTAACAGATACGTACGAAGACTGGGGGCGCCTCCTCTGCCTCGTCGTCATTCCAGAACTTCACCTTCCGGAAGAAGATCTCTGCGCTGCCCTTGGGCACCTCGCCGCGATCTGCACCCACCCCCACAAACGGCAGCACAAAGTTTCCAACCAAATCAGCTTAGGATTGCAACGAATAAGCGAAAAAATTTCCGCCGAGATCGGGCGGCGAGGGACGGGACGGGGATCTAGATCTTACAGTCGCGGAAGACGATGTGGTCGCCGCGCTGCGACAGAACGAAGAACTGCGAGATCATCCCACCACGCCGCCGCTTCCGCTGACACGTCTTCTCCTCGGGACCGGACGCCCTGGCTGCGACTGTAACGTAACGCGAAGATCAGAGGCAGTAGATAGAATACTGTGTGTGTCGCAGTCGCAGCCGCACCTTCTCCCTTGCCGAGATAGAAGACGACTCCGCAGCCGGGCACTGACGCGAAGAAGAGCAAGAACGGAAACGTAAGGCCCATTGGTCTGGCGAGGGTGATCTACCATCAGTGACACGGGCCGCAGATTATCCATTAACTTACATGGATGGGCCCATATTCTAGTTTTACGCGGCCCACCGTGCGTCCGCCATTCGCTCGCCGGCCACGAACCCGAGTCCACCCTCCCTCCACAGGCCACCGGGAAGGAACCAACCGCCTCCCGTTGGCTCAGCCCGCCACCCGCCAGGCATATACACTGATGCCCCGTTTAGCAGGGCTTCACTTCACTAATGAAGCTATTTTTTTTTCTTCAGCTCTACGAACAGTTTCACCGGTGGAGCTGAAGCGGTTTTGATAAACCGTTTGGCAAAATGGCTTCCCTGTGAGAGCATGTTTTTAGAGGCCGGAGGAGGAGCCGAAGAAGCCACTTTTTTTTTTGCTCCATCCCACCCCAAATCACTGTGAGAGCATGGTTTTAGGAGCTTCACCAATGAAGCTATTTCACTTTACCTCGTTTGGCAGAAAACAGCTCCGAACGGCTCCTGAGGCTGACGGAAAAGCCCTGCTAAACGGGACCTGAATAAAAAAATATGGCCATGCATCACCTAATCACCTCGGCACGGCAGCAAAGCAAAGCTAGAGCTAGAATGCATACACGCACACGCACCACCGCACCAGCATGGAAAGGACAGGAAACCTTATGGTATGTCGTATTCGCATCGTATATGTATGGATGGATGCATCACATATTCACATTACAGATGCTGCCTGGATAATCAATCGGTTCCATTCATCATCAGAGAGACACTGCACTGCACACATATCACACACCGAACCGGCGTTTCTCAAGAATCTTCAACAAGGATGTCAAGCCAAGCAGTACAGGGCAAATAAATACCAAACAACAAACCTGAAAGGGCAGCATAGTCTGCTGCTGCTGCTCAAGTTCATGCGCTACCTACTGTTCAGCTAAACATCTACACTAATTACTACCAGCAAATTCTAGCAAGCAAAAACTGAAGAGTACCGCTACCAGTCTACCACCCTCTGCTCTGGCTCTGGGAATCTGGGGAAAAAAAAGACATTGCATGAACGAACCTACCAACTTCACCAGATCAGCCCCGCGCAATGCAATCTTGTTTCCCATGCTCCAGGATGACATACTGCACTGCCTGACGCAGAATCTCGGAGCCGGCTACGCAAACAACATGGCCACTTGCCCACTTCCCAAGCTCAGAGAATGGCAGGTCCCACTCCCAGGCATTGATAACTTCTGACCAACAAAACACACAACAAACAAAAGGTAATAAGTTAGCAAGTCATAATCAATCTACTATTATTTCTAGTACCCCAGCAGTCAGCAAAAGCAAAGTAAACTTGTCAAGTTCACTCACTCAACAAAAACAAGCTAAGGAACAAATAGGTTCTCATTTCTCAACACAAACCAGGCGAGTCAAGGAAGTCAACAAATTATTATTGTTTGCAACTGTCACGCGACAGCACAAATACACAAGAACACAGCCTGCCTGATCTGACAAAATATTCGTTGAGTATGCAGAACGCATATATCTAGTAGAAACAGTCAACCATTTTGGTTTCATTCATGTCGATGAATTGAAATCAATAGAACATGAGCAGAAGAGCAGCTGAATATGTGAAAACCGTTCGATTTTGTGTATGAATTCAGTTTATTAGAGACAGCACAAACATTTTTAGATTATGTGAAAACCGTTCGATAGTATGCTCTCCCATAGCACAAACATGTTTATATGCTACTAAAAACAAACCGGTATATTAGAGACCTAGCAAGTACTTTTCATCGTCCAAATGTCCAATGCAGTGTTCACTGCATCATGTGGCCATGCAGAGCCAGGAATTGTGGTTTGTGGATGACAGTTCACAAAAAAACATATCAAGAACAAAGCTAATGTTAGCACAGAAAAGGTATACCAACTGTAAAGGGATCCCATATAAGGCAAATAAAAGGTCGTGATCTTGGTCCAACAAAATCTGAGGATCGTGAGAAAAAGTTGAGGTTTGCTGTTCCAGAATACTACAGGTGTGTATAGTGAACATGTTCAGATGCATGTGAAGGATTTTTATCTTTCCTTGAGAGTACAACAAAAGAAAATCGAAAGTGGCTTACTTGGATTCGAGAAACTCCCTGATATCAGACTGCTCTTCATAATCATCATCTTCGAGATTAATCACAGGAATTGTTCGCTCATTGGCTCTATTGTGAATTCTAGCCTGTCGATTCGCAGACTGATTGAGAAGCATTTGCCCATCCTTCAAATGGCAACTATCATGTGCATGCTTGTCTGCACCATCATTTAGAAGCATTTTCTCGCTTTTCAGATTGTAGCTATGCAAATCATAGACACCCATAGGTAAACGCTTGGGTTCTGACGCCATTTGATAATTACGGACAGGATGTCCATCCATGCCATCACCTAGCAGCAGCTGCTCACCAATCACAGTATGGTTCGCCAACCAGTCGTTTTCATGTTCAAGCCCATCTGCATTTTGATTCAGATGTAAATGCCCATTGCTCCATTGGATTCTAGTCATATCATGCGCATCAATGCCATGACTTAGACGTAATTTCTCATTCTCCAACAGGTGAATATCCTGTGCATCTTCAACAGCCTCACTGTTCAGATCATACCTAATCAAGTCATGCCCATTCTTCGACATGTGACTATCCCCTGCACGCTCATCTTGACCTTGAATTTCTGAAGCATGACAGTTAGTTTGCTGGTGTATCCGGCCAACTAAATCAGGCACAGAATCAGAAACATGATCTGCTTGAGGATCACCAGAGATCTCAGTCATTTCACAGGCATCTGGAGTTTCGACGACGTTGAGGTCAAAAACTCTGCACGAAGCTGGCAGCTCTGGTTTATCTCTGTTAAAATCGCCAGCACCAGCCATACCATCACTCTGTGGATGTGGAGCCACCATTTCATCCCTTGCTTGACAGCAGTCATTGTCCTCACCTAGTGTTTCCCTCATACAAGCATCCATGACCATGGGTGCATTGGCAGCTTCCCTGTCCTCTACGGCATTGCTGAGCTGGGACCCCCTATGCACGGCCGGTTCCTCAACAGATTCCAACGGATGAACATTGGTATCAGAATCAGACAGTTGGTGCTGGGTGGCATCCATTTCAACACCATTCAAGCGAGCAGCTGCAAACTCACCGTCCTCACCTTCAGAAATGTCTTGTTCAAACTCACCATCCTCGCCTTCAGAAATGTCTCGAGTGCGATTCAGTCCGTGGATCTCTGACACCATCTCCCCGTCTTCGATAGCCATTTCCTCATCGGCACTGTCATTCACCTCTGCAACCACCACTGAACTAGGCACCCTCCGCTGGTGCCTTGGCATTTCATCGACATGACGGTAGTGCACGTCAAAGTCCCTACCAGCAGCAGCAGGAATAATGCCAGAGTCTGGCACCTTGGTGTGATCCAAATCTCTGCTGCTGCTGCTGCTGCCGCCAGCGTAGTAGCTCCTGGTCCTGTTCCTGCTCCTTGGATCCACTCTGCCGCCATCAGCGGAAGGCCGGCGATCGTTATGCGAGTAGGACCTCGACATCGGAGGTCTCCTGGGCTCATCATAGTCTCGAGTCCGGCGGGGGGCCCTGTCCACATCATGGCCGGCGTCGTGGTACTTACGCCTCTCGTCAAAGCTGCGGCTCCTCCTGTCCCATCTGGTCGCCTTCCGTGCCTGCCTGTCGTCATCCTCCCAGACGCGGGCCCAGTCCCCATCGTTCCGGCGCGATCTCGGATCGCCGCCACCGCCGCCGTCGTTTAGCTTTCTCCCGCGGCTGGCGGGAGGGTGCGCGGGGCGTGGGGCGGGCGGGTCTTCCCTGGCCCGGAGCACATGCTCGGGGATGACGCCCTGGGCGACCAGGTAGTGCGCGGCGAGGCGGCCGGCCTCGAGCAGGATGCGGTGGTGGGCGGGGGCGGAGACGTCGGGGTGGGGATCGTCGCCGCGCCGCGGCGGCGGGGTGCGCCTCTGCGGGCGTCGCTGGTAACGCGGGGAGGGCGGAGCAGGCGGTGACCGGCGGCGGTGGCGTCCACCACCCGAGGGCGGGTGCGGGTCGCGGCCGCGAATGCGCGACCTCGGCGAATGCATGGAAGGAGCCCCGGTCCCGGCACTGGCAGGCCGGAGACGACGCGAGCTGGTTGTGTGAGCGCGCGCGGCGTTGTCAAATCTGGCGTCGCGTCCAGTGGAGTGGAGCGGAGCAGGCCAAATCTGTGGCGTCCGTTCAGTGACGTGACGTTCGTTGGGAGTCCGGCGAGGCGCAGAACCGAGGTGATCCTGCGTTCGTTCCGTTTGTTGGCCCCGGCCGCGCCGGGGGTGCGGCGCCGCTGGTGGTGCAGGCTGCGAGGGGAGGGTTTGCTCTGCTCTGCTGCGGTGGCCGGTGGCGGACTGGCGGTGCGGGGCAGGGCAGGGGCGCAGGGTAGGCACACCGCGCACCGATAATAAACAAGAGGGAGACGAAGACCCTCTCTCCTCGATCTTTGCTTATTTTTCAAAATTTCTAGCGACTAGTACGTACTTTTTTCTGAACATTAATTAGCGAGTTCTGTATTTTGTTATTGATAGTTTTTTAATCGCAGCGCCAATAATCCCTCCCTCTCATTTCCAAATTCCAACGAACGCCTACTACTAGTAGTATGGAGTACCCTATGCACGCACTTCTTTTCAGACTGTCATGGACCCTGTTCGGCAGGACTGAAAAATATTGTTCCGACTGATTGTTGTAAGAGAAAAATACTGTTCTGGCAAGACGTGAACAGTGATTTCGTGAGTGGCGAAACAAGCCAGCCGGCTGGCTTTAAGCCAGCCGAACACGCCCATGATAAGATTCCAAAAACGCAAGGATATGATGTACTTTAACTATCCATTTTATACCATCAAGCAGCCTACTCTCATATTTAGCTTGTAAACCATGGTTTATCAGTCAATAAATAGTATTTTTCTCTTATACCAAATTAGTCAATAGTACTTTTAACTATGGCATATAAGCTAAACCAATCCAAACAAACCGGACGAAGAAGCAAGCCTCTTTTGAATCCTATTGCTATCGTTTGTCATGCATGTGCCCTGGTGAATTACTGGGCAGGCTTATTCAAGGAAATCGACAAGGAGGCTTTGGAAGCTGGGGTAAATACAATGCTAAAGATCGCTGCGTCTCTGCTGGGCAAGAAGAGAAGCAGGGATGGACAACAGCTACTGAGGAATGATGACAGTGGCGACAAGAAGGAATGAGAAGCTCTTCTACTCAAGCTTTCAGGTAATCTGGCCAAGGTCTTGTTTAGTTCCTCCTCAAAAATTTACACCATATCCCATCGAATATTTAAATACATGCATGGAGTATTAAATATAAACTAAAAAAATAACTAATTGCACAGATTGCGAGACGAATCTTTTAAGCCTATTAGGCCATGATTTGACAACGTGGTGCTACAATAATACATGTGTTAATAACGAATTAATTAGGATTAATAAATTCGTCTCGCGGTTTACTGACGGATTCTGTAATTTGTTTTTTTATTAATATCCGAACACCCAATACGATATCTCTATATAACATCTGATGTGACACCTCAAAACTTTAATCCCTCAAACTAATCTAGCCCCAAGTTGCTGGGAGGAAGCAATATGCGTAGATAGCTTGTTTTTTGGGCAGCATACTGTTATGCCTAGGTGGCTTTTGCAGCGTCGTTATGCAGGTGCTAGTTGTGTTTGGCTGGGACTTGGTAGCTTTGCGTTGGTGTTTGTAAGTCTGTCTTAGATGCTGTTCCTGCTCTCTTTCTGAACTGTCTCCGTTAGCGATAATGGAAGTGGGGTTACCTCCGATTCAAAAAGAAGAAGCACAGTGTTATAAAATCAATGGTTTTCCCCTCAAAAAAATAAGATGGCGTTTGGTTCAGCGAAATGTAACATAATTAGATTATGGAGGGGATCGGATGGTGATACAGTTGTTTGGTTCATCTCGGTCCGTTATGGAGTACCCCGCAATCATATACGGACCCATTCACAACCAATACCGCCCCTCCACAAGCTTTATTGCATGACGCAACAACTGGCGTTATCAGTTTCCCTTATTTTTCTGCAACCGAACAAATCACGGGAATATTGCTCCCCGCGTGATCTGTTTTCCTTACGATTTACGTTTCCATCCATGGAAACAAACGCCTTCTAAGTTCAAAGCCGATATTCATATCCTAAATCCTACCTCTACAAGACTAGCACCGTATTTTAAAATTGACGAAATCAAAACAGAAGCCAGTTGCCACTAATAAAAGAATAATCCACCCTAAGTACTCTAGTCCAAAAAAACCCTACACAAATCAAAATCAATGTTTATAATACTTATATATATGATAACCACATCCATGTTATATTTTAAATATTTGTGAGAAAAAAACAGTTCCTATATTACTTCCACACACTAGTCAAAGCATGCATATAATTTGATAAACCGTTAGTTAAAAATTATCAGGATGTGATGTAGTTTCCACACATTAGGCGCGCACACGCCCTATATTAAAGAAGAAGAAAAAACGAGAAGAAATGGAGGGAGACCTGCCAAGTGCCAACCAAGGAGAAGTGATGTGAGACGTGAAGGCACTCATGTTTTGTTCTTTCAATGGTGCTCTACTCTACTCTACTCCAGTGCAGACATTTGGCTGTTGCTTTGCTAATCCTAGAAATAAATACGTATCTACCTGTACTCTACTCTGGAAGCGCGTTGTAGTGTGCTTTCGGGATGCTTCACTGTGACGGGCATGGACGGTGGGTGGGTGGGTTGGCCTGGCCATGTGGGGGCGCAGCTGTGTTGTGCTTGTGATGGGGAATAATCCCTAATCCGTGTCCACCTGCGATTAGGTGGTGGGACCAAATCAGTCAGTGTACGTTTCAACGCAACGAAGTAGCTTTTCTTGTGCTACAAAGACCTGATCAGGACGCTTCAGTTTGGTATATATATACGGTCTCATCTCATGATGCAAAAGCAAAATTTTAGCCATCCCTAGGTTCGGCTCCTTTGAAGCATTTCATTTTGGTCAATTTATTAATTGGTGGGGCCGTGCAGGAATAAAAGGCATCCTCAGCTTCACTACACAAATGATGGCTGTCAGGATGCCAAAGCCGCCAATTAGCATTAGTCAATTGATGAAGCAAAGCATACCAGCCCAACAAAAAGACAATGTCATGTCCCTGTTTGTTTCTTCCTTTCTGGGCTTTCACTTCTTTTATATGGTGGCCCAGCCCAAAAGACACAATCTATCTAGATTCTAGATATATTTGTTACAGTATCTATCTACAGAAAAGAGTACTCCAAAATGAAGTGAGCTCGCCCAGGCCCACCCATTCCTACCTTCTTTCTGGTACCAAAGCAGTAAAGACAAAGCCTTTGGAATGGATGTCATCTCCAAGCTGATATATACTCAGCTTGGTAACTTAATAGTAACTTCCCTCCTGGTGATGATTTGCAATACCAACAATTATCCAAGCAAAGGCAATAATGATCATGCATGCACTTCATTCAAAGTATCAACTGGCAACCAACAAGCAGCGAAAAACCAGGGGGCAAAATAGCTTTAAATCACATGATGGACCAACAGGTATACACAAATCACGGGACAATCTCAACAAACAAGACTCAGCATAGCTAATGATACATCTCCGCCAAGATGAACAGAGCAGGTAAGTTGAGCAAAATGTGCCAGCAACCATTAAGGTGGAATTGTAGCACAGACATACTGCTATAAGGTGCACAAGAAATTCCATTCTTCATCAGGATAGAAAAGACAAAATAATGTCCTGTATAAGACTTCTGCAGACGACAATTCAATAATACGCCGCATAACACATTTTCCTACTTCCCACGTATTAACCTGGTCCTGCACAGCAAACATGACACAGAATAGTTCATATTTGACTCGTTCTATTGTTCAAAACTTACTCTAGGGCAGTGCCCCGCATGATAGAAAAAATAGCATCTTCTTTTTCAATGAATAGGATTTCTACGCAACTTGTACGTGAAGAATTCAGTACTCTCACTTTCGCTTTCGCCCCAACTGGACAATGAACTAATAAAGAGACAAAAGGCAAACTGGAAGCATGTACACAACTATACAAATCATTCTTTTGGTAATGCAAGCAGTAGAATTCCTTCCTTTTATTGGGATCAGTGATCACACCTGTTGTACTATCTATGGTGTTTTGTTCAATGCACTGAAATGATTGTTTGTTCGATACAAACAAGACAGTATGATATTCCTTTCCTCTACAGATATGGATCGCATTCATTTAGGAGTTATTCCTTCAAAGATAACTAGAGAAGACATGCCCTATTCTGCTCAAAGCATGAGCTTGACAAACTTAACTCAAAAGAAACAAATGTTGTAAATGAAGCAGATTAGTATCAAACCTCTAGGTGCACCTTCATGTGGACCCCTCTGTGGCCCAAGCATCTGCATCACAGCTCTCAAAGCCTCCGCAGCCTGCTCGGGTCCAGCCACATTTATATGGATGCCATCATCACTGCGTACGCCTGGTTCACCATGTTCCCCTTCATGTCCATTTGAAGCTTGGTGTGCCTGAGTTCCTTCATTGCCTGAGCCCGAGAAGGCAAAGGGGGGAGGAACAGCAGCACCAGTTGGGAACGAAGCAGGTGGAGTATGGTTATTTGAATTCCCTGTTTGACTTGGTCCTTCACCGCTAGCATTGACATTTGCTTGACCAAAAATGTCATTCAAATTTATACTTATCGAATGTCCTGGTGGTGGTGCACTAATATCGGATGACCAGCCAGCGAAGAATTCTTGACCTGGAGAACTACCTGGTGGAAACAGATTGAAAGGAACACCACCACTTGTAAATATTGGATGTGGTCCTTGAGCTTGGCGTGCATGTGTGTTCTATAAACAAGATGATGGATTAGCTGTCAATTTAGACCAAAGAACAAAATAAAACCATACAACATAATAAAAACATAATCTTCAGTAGACATCCCAACTAGGAGCCTTTTTACAAGCGAAGTATTTCATTTTACACCAAAAAAAAATAGTGCTTATTTGTAGGATACATCTCAAACCCCACTTCGGAGGTATAGGCAAATT